CTGTGGCCCCTTTAAGAGCCACGTGTCCGCGGTGCACTTCCGTCAGGAGCCAAGCCACCCCAGGAAACAAGAAATAGATGCCAGTATGCCAGAGGGGAATCCCATTCAATTCAATTAAGATGGGAAAATAGGTGCCGGTACACCGTGCCGGGGTGTACCATGACAAAAAAAGCACTGAATATACATAACTCAGAGGTGCTTTGAATAAAATGCCTCACATAACCTGTCTATTACAATGTTACAATCTGCTGAATAGGTATCTCTTATTTTGGTGCATGCATCATTCTTGTACATGAAGTGGGAGACTGTTTACAGCCTCACACTGTTTACAGCATGCATCATTCTTGTACATATGAAGTATGAGACTGTTTATAATTTTAAATGTGCTAATGAGAGTCATCGCTGGTATCCCCCAAGCCATAACAACTTGGTGATCAACTTAAGAACTTGTAAATAGTCTTGTTTGTCCTTTAAGTCAAGAAGGTGGTTGGGCCTAAGAAAACATGTGACCATACCACCTGGTACTGGGATCCATTTTTGAACCTAGTAGTTTTTCACAGAAGGGGGGGTAGATGTTAAACAAAAGATACCCATCCTGGGCAGGTCATGCAGTGGCCTTTGTCTTTTACTAACCTGGAAACAGCAGGGCACAAAGGACAGAAAGAGGGCTGGGGGCCAAAGTCAAAGTAAAGAAGTTGTTTCTGACTTGAATATTATACCTGATATAAGAACAGCTCTTTAGGGTGAGACATTTCTCAGTGGATTAGAAGTAGCTATGTGTTTTCTATTCATTTAAATGTAGTAACTTACTTTCCCCTCTCTGTTTTTACTTGCAACCGCTATTGTTTGTACTTAATAAATACACTTTTGCTTTCTATCAGGCCTAGTGTAAAAATTGTCACTGGTGGGAACAACCATTGTGCATCTCTCTCTTTCATTGTTAAAGGGAGTTTACCTGATGAGCTTTCCATGTGTAAAACTTTTACACAGGGAAAGACAGATTTTTTTTGGGGGGAGGGGGAGGTTGGTGCCATTTGGAGATTGGTTTCCTGGGTGCTGTGCCCAAAACCGCATCCTCCCAGAACTGAAGTGGTTCAGTGGGGTCGGGAAGGAATTTTCCTCCAGGGTAGATTGGTAGAGACCCTGGAGGTTTTTTGCCTTCCTCTGTAGCATGGGGCACATATCACAGCTGGAGGATTCTCTGCATCTTGGGGCCTTCAATATCTGAGACATAAGTGAGAGGATTATTCTAAGAGGGGTGGGTGAGATTCTGTGGCCTAATCAGTGCAGGGGGTCAGACTAGATGATCATAATGGTCCCTTCTGACCTTAAAGTCTATGAGTCAATGTCTGTGTTGCTCTGCGGGATGGGAGGTGAGGGGGGAGGAGGAATTACCCCAACTCTGTGCCTTGTCTGGGGGACACCAGAGGATCTGCCTCAGCAAGACAGGATGGCAGGGAGCCCCAGAAAGTATGAAGGCAGGTGTCAGTGGCATGAGCAGCACACTGGGGAACAATCCCAAGGGGACGTTTATGAACGCACCCTATCATTCCATGCTTATCTAAAAATTTCCTTTTTGGAGTAATAATGTCCACAGACCTGGTACAATGGATACTTCAATGTTCTTGCAGCAGAACCAGACCTGTCAAGTCACTGGCAGCAGGGGAACATGCGACAACTCCAGGCCCTCCCACTCCTCTGGACCCCAGCCCCGGGCCATGTTAGTGGCTGTAACTCTAGCTCCTGAGTCAGCGGGGAAAAGCTTTGACTGAAAACATGCTGACTCCCTGGTGTCAGCTCACTCACCTTAGAATCATAGGATCTGTGGACTGGAAGAGGCCTCAGGAGGTCATAGAGTCCAGTTCCCTGCCCAAAGCAGGACCAATCCCAAATAAACCAGCCCAGCCAGGACTTTGTCGTGACACTTAAAAACCTCTAGGAATGGAGATTCCACCACCTCCCTAGGTAACCCATTCCAGTGCTTCCCCACCCTCCTAGGGAAATAGTTTCTCCTAATATCCAACCTAAACCTCTCCCACTGTAACTTGAGACCATTGCTCCTCATTCTTCCATCCATCACTACTGTGAACAGCCTTTCTCCATCTTCTTTGGAACCTCCCTTCGGGAAGTTGAAGGCTGCTATCAAATCCCCCCTCACTCTTCTCTTCTGCAGACTGAACAAACCCAAATCCCTCAGTTTTTCCTGATAGGTTATGCGCTTCAGTCCCCTAATCATTTTGGTTGCCCTCCACTGGACCCTCTCCAATGCGTTCACATCCTTTCAAGAGTGGGGGGGCCTAGAACTGAACACAATACTCCAGATGTGGCCTCACCAGAGCCAAATAAAGGGGAATAATCACTTCTCTGGATCTGCTGGCAATGCTCCTCCTAATGCAACCTAATATGCCATTAGCCTTTTTGGCTACAAGGTCACACTGTTGACCCATATCCAGCTCCTCATCCACTGTAATTTCCAGGTCCTTTTCTGCAGAACTGCTACTTAGCCAGTCGGTCCCCAGCCTGTAACAATGCTTGGGATTCTTCCGTCCCAAGTGCAGGACTCTACACTTGTCTTTGTTGAACCTCATCAGATTTCTTTTGACCCAATCTTTTAATCTGTCCAGGTCGCTCTGGACCCTATCCCTGCCCTACAGCGTATCTACCTCTCTCCCTAGGTTAGTGTCATCTGCAAACTTGCTCAGAGTGCAATCCATTCCCTCATCCAGGTCATTAATAAAGATGTTGAACAAAACTGATCCTAGAACAGATCCTTGGAGCACTCCGCTAGAAAGCAACCTCCAATCTGACATCGAGCAATTGATCACTACCCTAGTCAGCTTTCTATCCACCTTATAGTCCATTTATCCAATCCATATTCCCTTAACTTGCTGGCAAGAATATTGTGGGAGACCGTATCAAAAGCTTTGCTAAAGTCAAGGTATATCACATCCACTGACTTTCCCATATCCAGTCCATTTATCCAATCCATATTCCCTTAAGGTGTTGGCAAAGAATATTGTGGGAGACCGTATCAAAAGCTTTGCTAAAGTCAAGGTATCCCATATCCACAGGGCCAGTTACCTTATCATAGAAGCTAATCAGGTTGGTCAGGCACGACTTGCCCTTTGTGAATCCATGTTGACTATTCCTGATCACTTTCCCCTCTTCCAAGTGCTTCATGCCTACCACCTCCAGGCTGCAGACCTGCGAGAGGGACTGGGAGGCCCCCAAGGAGGCCACTGCAGAGGGCTGATCTGTGGATGGCCCTCTCTCTGCAGCAGGACCAGGCAAGGCTTTCCCTGGGGGAAGAGACTGCCCCAACATCAGGGAACAAGTCAATGGGGTCGCCAAGGGAGAGCGAACCGAGGGCCAGAGGGGGTATTTATTAACTGATATAGTAGTGCCACTACAGGAGGCTCCCCTGCTAGCCCAATGGGTACTGCTAAAGGAAAAACTTCCAATGACATGTGCATGCAGTGTGCACAGCTACATGGAATAAACATGACGAGCACTTGAAGAAGAACTTTGCTTCTCTTTGTTTTTGTATGTAGATTCACAATTCCAGTGGGAAAAGGCACCACTGTGATAATAAAGTCCAGTTGTTCTCAACAAGAGGTACATATACCCCTGGCGGTATATGTATAGAGATCTTTCAAGAGGTACATCAAATCAATTAGATATTTTCCTAGTTTTACAACAGGCTACATAAAAAGAAGTAGTGAAGTCAGTACCAACTAAAATGTCCTACAATGACTTGTTTAGACTCCTCAACATAGCCTGAAATGCAAGTACAATATTTATATGTCATTTTTATAGTTCTATGGTAAAAATAAGAAAATAAGCAATTTTTCAGTAATAGTGTGCCCTGACACTTTTTAAATGGCTGATTTCCGTAAGCAAATAGTTGTTAAATGAAGCCAGTTATCCACCCACCTTTTAGTAGCCCCATCTAGGTCGTATAGTAGCCCTTCACCATTTCAAAGCCATCTATAAAAGAGGATGCCAGTGCATGCCCCAGTGAACTCTGGTTTGAACCTGCCTTGGGGCACACAGTCTTACTTGGTGATAAGGAAACAGAAACAGAAGCTGTCTTTTTCTTAGAGGACATAGGGAGTAGTTTGCTCCTCTTTTAATGAGGAGTTTATCTTTGTCGTCCTCATGTCTCCGTTTAATGGAGTCCTTGTGTCTGCTAGAGGATTTCCAGCTTGAGAGCGCTGGTGCCAGCAGGATACTATCAGAAGGTTCATGTCAGTGAGTTGGGGATTGGGATAGGACAGGACCACACTGAGGTCTCAAGGACATCTCTATTAAATATTTGCCTAGTACAAGGAGATCCCACTTTTCAAAGGAATGTGGGATTCTGCAAGGCAATACAGGCAGTTCTAGCAAGGGTCCCTAATCAGAAAGAACCAGAGATAGGACAGACAGGGCTTGAAGTATGAAATCTTGGGCATAACAAATGGTGGGAGAACAAGGGGGAAGGAACCTACCAAACCCTAAACTAACTAGACTTAACTAAGCTAATGAAAACTATTGACAAAATGATGTAATTATTATATCACTTTCTGTTTCCAAAACCAATGGAGTGAATTGTCTCCCCAAGATTAACTGCAAAGCGAAGAGCTGGCAGCCGCATGTAGGACAGCTAGCATTTTCTTTATAGACAGTACATTCACTTTCTACATCAGTTAAGTAAACATGAACTCTTTCTTGTGATTTGAGGTCCTTCACGTACTATAGGAGGCTTGCCTCTAACTCACAGAGCTTCTATTTAAATCTCTATATAAATCACCTTACATGATACACAATACCAACTACCACTATTTAGAAAGAATAGTCTATGTTCTATCATTCTATCAATAACATCACTATGTTCCCTCTTTCCCCCCAAAAAGGGCACTCTCTCACAAGAGTGAAAGAGAAAGTCCCTATTTCTTCAGTGATAGCACCCACATTTCCATTTTCTAAACACTGAACAGGCATAGATTTGTTATGCTTACCTGATGCACACAGTCCAAGAACTGTAAGAAAACGGGAGCAAATCCACTGCCCTGACAATTGAGGGTCACACTGTTCCGCTGATTGAACTTGTGACCAAAAGAGAGCCATTCTTTTTCCACTAACATTCGGAAGCCTTCAAGTGTCCTGTAAAATGGGTCACTGAGTAATTGTGCAAGAGACACCACCTAAATCACAAAGCAGAGTGCACTGGCATTAACATTAGTTACATCATATTTAAAACTACAATTTTGTTCAACAAACTGAAATATTCTAAACCTGGGGAGTTACTAGATAATAAAGATGTTAAGTACTGAGTAAATGACTAATTGAGTACTCAATACAATTTGTATCAAGTACATGATTAGTTGATAAGGGGACCCGGCACACCGGGAGTTGGTCCGGGAAATGGCGCACTGGGAGTAGGTCCAGGACTCTGCTCACAGCGGGTCCTGCACTGTGCCTCTGCTTTTTAAACGTAGAGCCAAGTGTCTCTTACTACATTTAAAAGGCAGAGCTGCTTGCACTTGCTCCTGCTCCCCCACCCCGCTGCCTCCAATATACAGGCAGTAAAGGGGAGGGGGAAATGCGTAGTTGACTCGACTACCTGATAAGCCTAGGCTTATTGGGTAGTCAACTATTGGATTACTCTTTTACATCCCTACTAGATAAATGATTTACAATGGCAGAAATAATCCAAATTTGGATAAGAGAAAGTTTCATTTCAGAGCTTCAACTAAACTGAGGTTTTATTGAATAGGGAGTATATGGTGGGAGTGGCGGGTTGAGGAGAGGAGGGGCGCAAATCTGAGTGACTACAGATTTTGGAAGTCATTACAATATTTGCCAAATTTTAATTAATTTTTAATTTAAAACATACATTATCAGACAAGAATGACAAACATTTAGAAAACTGGTGCTGGCCATCTCAGCTGGCAAAGGATTGTAGAAGAGGACCTGGAAGGTGGGGGATTATTCCTTCTGATGCCATGTAGCTGTAGCCCTTCCTTTATCAGATACCAGGTAGTGGGGCTCTGAAAGGCTGCACTGAGCCAAAACGTCCCTCTTCCTGCTCTGTACATTATCAGACAAGAATGACAAACATTTAGAAAACTGGTGCTGGCCATCTCAGCTGGCAAAGGATTGTAGAAGAGGACCTGGAAGGTGGGGGATTATTCCTTCTGATGCCATGTAGCTGTAGCCCTTCCTTTATCAGATACCAGGTAGTGGGGCTCTGAAAGGCTGCACTGAGCCAAAACGTCCCTCTTCCTGCTCTGTCTATATCCTCCTTGGTAATTTAAAACTGGTTACTTGGACATTGTTACATTTCATTTGTAGGGATGTAAAATCCAGTTTAATTAGTTAACCAGTTAAATGTTAAGTTTAAGTGGTTAATGGATTAACTGGGTTGGAGTGGTCCCCCTGCCTGCAGCAAGCCCCGTGGGGTTGGAGCAGCCTCCTGCCCGCCAAGGGCAATGGCTGCTCCAGATCTCACTAGCTTGCCAGTTAACCATTAACATCCCTATTCAGTTGTGCTTTTGTTTGTATGGCGCTATGAGTTAGGTTCTCAAATGATGTGATGGAATTATTGATTTGCTGTACGTACCATTTGGATTATAATGCATTTACGCAGGCACAATCTACTCATGCAACGAGCTCAGCTGCTGCTTTTCATATAATGTATGGTTTGTTTCACAAGATCTATACTTTGGTAATTTGCCCTGGGAGCAGATGTTACAAGGTCAGAACTGTATGGCTGTGTCTACACTGGCAAGTTATTCTGGAAAATCAGCCGCTTTTCCGGAAAAACTTGCCAGCTGTCTACACTGGCCACTTGAATTTCCGGAAAAGCACTGACGATCTAATGTAAAATCATCAGTGCTTTTCCAGAAAAACTATGCTGCTCCCGTTCGGGCAAAAGTCTTTTTCCGGAAAACTGTTCCGGAAAAGGGTCAGTGTAGACAGCAGAGTAGTGTTTTCCTCAAAAAAGCCCTGATCGCGAAAATGACGATCGGGGCTTTTTTGCGGAAAAGCGCGTCTAGATTGGCCACGGGCGCTTTTCCGGAAAAAGTGCTTTTCCGGAAAAGCATCCTGCCAATGTAGACGCGCTTTTCCAGAAATATTTATAACGGAAAACTGTTA